TTCAAGAAATTTCCCCAGTTCCTAATGTACCTAAGTCCCTCCCCACCTCCACTGCTGTCCTGTCTCTTGGGAAATGGAGAGTGTCTTTTTGTACAGAATACAGTGAAAACAAGAGGAAGATGTTGTCTACCTGGACTTCAAAGATCAAATATTTTTAGCCTTCAGAGGTAGCTGTGAATCTCAGACTCAGTGGACAGACCAGAGCAGGGGATAGGTGGAATGTTGTCCTGATGTTTTAGGCAGCTAAACATAGATTGTATTAACCCTGAGAAACAAGCAGGTGTAAAGATGTTACAGGCTCCAGAACAGGTACCAAATGTGTTTCCACCAGATTAATGAGTAAGTTCATAATGTGAAAGATATTATGCATTACAGGCAAATTAGGAACAAATAACAGCAATTAATGGTAAAGAGGAAGAAGGAAAAAAGGTGTGGTTGTTGTGTGACAGTAGTTAGGTCCGCTAGCACGTGACAGAGCAATACAGCTCAGAGTGAGCCCTCAAACTGGAGAGTGTCTTCTCTGCAGACTACATCAAACATGTATAAAAATCCAACAGAAGAAAATGGTTCTCATAATTGCATACAGCATCAGAGAGAGAGAAAGGATTTTCATTTTCTTTTATCATATCTTCACCTGCAGAGCATACTCATTTTAATGTGTCATCATGTTGATGAAATGGACGCGAACATATTCTGGTATTTGCCTTCTAATCTTGAAAAGTTATAGATTTTTCTCTTCTTCTTCGCAATAAAGTGATACTCAAATTTCCAGTTTTATGTAAATTTAAGGAATATAGATGTGGTTTACTGGGACCCCTAGGTATGTCCCATAGCATTTCTTGTTTGATTGTAAATGTCCCATCTAGTTTCTAAGTGACTGCAGTATTTAATCCTCACATGCTTACAGCTAATATAATAATATCACTCTTTGAACTAAAAATCAAAAAAACTTCCAGGAAAAATTTTGCTGTTATTTTAGGCAAAATAACATGTATAAGACCAAAACTGGTGCCTCAGGGATAGTTCAAAATGTTGAAGACTAAAATGTAGGTTACTCTTCAGGAAATTTAATTGTAATTAATGTTACATAATTTATTCTTTTCTTGTCAACAGGAAGATTCGACCGACTGCGGTGGTGTCTCTGGTCTGAGTCCATCACTGTGGTCTATGGTAGGAATTCAGCTGGTCCTGCTTTGGCTGTTATCTGGCAGCAGACACTACCAGTTATGACCTTGATAAACCAAAACCTGCATAACTTAATCAAGACCCGGCCAAAACGATAGCCTCAGTTTCATTTTAAAAAGGGTCAGCTATTCAGACAGCAGCAGAACAGCAGTGCTCATGTCTGGTTATCACTTGTTGTGAGACTCATAAAGGCACCCACGGTGGCTGCATGTTGGAGTGTCAGATCCTTAAACTTGTGTGAATGCTGCATCATCTATGCCATCCAAACAGAATTCTGTACCTGCTCCACTGGGGAATCTAAGATTTTTTTTTTTTCTTTTTGGTTCTTGTAGTAATCTTGATGACTTCATGTAAAAGGGCTCCCCTGACAATAGCTTATGTATATGATTTTAATTTCTTTTAAGCTTTGGATATCTCGAAGATTTATATTCTTTTACATGAAAGGTTATTTAAAAAAAGAAAAAAAAGGAAAAGAAAAAACAAAATGTACTCCCCTAATACACATTGCTAGCACCATGACGGCTGTTTTGAACATCAGTTTGTCCAAAACAGTTGAGTAAAAAGAACGTATTGCTAGTCTTCATCAGAAATTCAATTGAAATGTTTTATGATGAGCGGTTTATTCTTTCAAAATGAATCATGTAGTCAGCTAAGTTTTGATAGGCTGATAAGTTGTTAGTTTAAAGGAAAGAAGGAAGGAAACTTCTGGTTTTAAAAATACAAAGGTGCTTGAGAGTTTAACTAAAAAGTGATTCTCATCTTAAACTTGGTGTCATCTTCTGTCAGAAAAATGTCAATTTCCATGTAATACTCACCTTTTTCACAATGCAGTTATATATAAAGCTAGTAGAATCCTTCAAAGACTCAAACAAAAGAACTTGTGAGTAAAAAATGTCTTTGTGATATTTGAACGTTGGTTTCCAAGGGTATTTTGCATGATGATGATGCTATGTTACTGTTTTTCAGTTTGTTTTCTTTGATGGTAGAGTATAGTCCATTGAAAAGGTAACTGAGTGATTCTTTTATTGTGTGAGAAATTGAACATTGCAATGTGTTGCAATCAAGTCATTAAATTATATTATGAAATAGAGCTCTGAATATACTGTGGAATGAAAAAGCTGAGAAAATAGGGTAAATTTAGCTATCATAACAAAAGGAATGAGTTGGATTTTTTACAGAATAGTAATCTCACATGAAAACCTGTGTACAGATATTTGAAGTATATAAAAATCAGATTTAACACATTTATTTTTGGAAGTACATGTTCTCTAAGGTTCATATCAGGTTCCCCTTTGTTTCCTTCATATAAAAACTCCAGTAATAATAAAACTTCTGCTGTTGCTATTTACTATTGAAAATAGTATATTTAACAGCAAAATGTCCTTGTTGCTGAGATTAGGAAAAGTCTAAACAAATGGGGAGCCTTGAATCTATATGTATGCACATTGATACTTGATTGTGAATAATAATTTTAAAAGTTGCTTTTATACAACCTCATTGGTGATACAGATTGGTGCAGTAAATTACAATATTACAGTGTAGCATAGTGTTGACGCAAAATATGATTTGCGCTTTTTTTCTAGTTTTCAGAACTAAACAGTATTGCAAGACAGCTAAACCAATGAATGTGCAGTTCTGCTGGTATTGTACAATTCTGCTAACAATGGCAATATGCAAATACTAACATGGCACAATACACTAGCTCTTTAAAAATAAGAAAATGCAAAACATTGATATGTATATGCTGGCAATTGATTAATATAATTTTGATCATGCCAAAAGCTTAAAGAAATTGGGCATGCATTAATATCTTATGAAAACTGAAGAAGCTACTCAAAGCCATGGCATGGCTTAAAAGATTGGATGTCTACTGCAGTTGTACCCATGGCTGGTTCGTTGTTTTTCTCATGTACCTTGGCTCCAGCAATGTATTTTCTCATGTTTGGGAATGTAGTGAGTGAAAAACTCAAAACTTGACCTTCTGTTCAGTGATTAGATGTAGCTTTAAAAAAAAAAATAAAATATCTCTAGTAAAGTCATGGAGGTAAAAGTACAACTAACTGTGTTGGACGACTTCAAGTCCTCCTTAGGAAAGGCAAGCTAATTTTGTTAATTTGTGGAAGATAATCTTGGAGCTCTTCCTCCCAGTCATATTACTGCCCTTCAGCCTATCACCAGTTACCACCTGATAAAAAATTGGTTTGAGTATTTCTAATGCTGAGACCGCATCCTGTATTTTTCCTCAATGTGGTCAATTGAAATTTTATAGGAGGAACAAATTTTGTAGGATTAGGCCAATACTCACTCATAGTTTTCCCCATAAAATTACTTAAAATACATATTAGTTTGCATATTGCTCTTCTAATTGTTTGAAAGGTTGTGAGTTTCACTTAGCTTCCCAAAAGAAACCCTTCATGGAAAAGTTACTTAACATTTTTTGAACAATTTGCTTACACTATTAGGCTGTGTTTTGAGTAACTTAATAAACTTTTTATTCAAGTGTGTAGGCAGAAAGAAGGATGGCACAAAGCCATGCTGCCACAGAAAACAACCACAGCTTTTGCTCTCATCTCACTTTCCTTACAGTGCTCACATACAAAAGGAGGGAGAAGCCCATGCCATGCAGACACATCAGTCTTCGTGGGTTATCCAAAGAGGAAAATGTCCTTTTTTTTCCTCTCCTTTGTCCCTCTATGTGACTCAAAGCAACATATTTCCGTAGAAACACTTGGCCCTTCAGCCATTACACCATTCTGATTGAAAACTCAGGATCTGGCTCCCCCAGAAGTACTTGGTACTGTCCCCATAGAACTCAATACTTCAAAAAGGAAAAAATAAAATTTTGGCTTCCTTTTGCAGAAAGCAGTACATATTTTGATTATATCCAAGTGAATGTCAAGATTTTTAAAAAATGCACTACCTATATATCTGTGAATTGCAAACACAGATAGAAAATACAACGTGAACTTTATTGATCGCAAAATGTGAATACCAGTATATTAGAAATAACTTGCATGAGTAAATATGTGTTCTTATGCAGACGAGTATCCCTGCTCTCACATGCTGCATAGTAGTCTTCTTGTCTGTGAGAGAAGAAAGTTGATCCTAGGCTTTAAATTGAGACATTTTTGAATTACAATATGTTGTAAAAAGTGGGGTTTTGTTTAGAAGCCAGATAAAAAGCTCTGTTAGTATTTGCTCAGATCCTTTAAATAGCAGTAAGGGAACTGTTGGGATTGTTTCACTTTACACAGAAGTCATGCAGCCTGTCGTATGTCTGACGAATAACCACCATTAAAGTTGTTACAGCATGGTATTGTGCAAAACATGATCTGAGGACTTAACATGAAAGGTTTCTTTCTAGTTTTTCATTTAAACAACCAGCATTACTGCCAAAACACCAACCGTGGTCCACATTTGTAACAGGTTTTTAACATAACATAGCAGGTTTGACTGACAAGATTTTTAGGTCCTGTACCTTTAAGACTTTAGTATGATCTTTTTCATGTTTCTAATGCTTGAGGCTTTACTGCTTAACTTGACAACAAGAGTGTTGCTGCCATTTGTAAGTTTTCCTATAATATTCCTTTTACTAACTTAAAAACTGGCCTTACTGGGTTCAAATAGGCAGTATCCCTTTTAAGTGACCTTTGCAACCCAAGTGTTACTTGCTGCTGTTGAGAGTTTTTTGGTATCACTGAAGAGACATTAAGACCTTTTGTTCCCATTAACACTTATGCTCCAAAAACGTGCTCAATGTGTCTTAATTTTAAAACACAACCTCAGTCCCACTGCTCCTAAAAATTCAGATGCTAACACACTAGTTATTAAGAAGTATGTTAATGCCTATAAGGCACAACAATGGACTGGGATGTATTTAGAATGTTAACTGAAGGTGAAATCTTAATAACTCCTTCCTTAGCATAAATTTTACCCTAGCTTCATCTGACATCCAAGCCTTTAACAAAGGCCAGATTATTTTTCAATTTTTTTTCCGTACCACAATGTTAATATTGTTAATACTCATTGTACACTACTGTAAAAAGATTAAAACAAAGTGTCTGAAAACAATTCAAGAGTTTTGAAAAGTTAGCCTCACCCTCTTCCTGGCTACTTGCATCTGTCCTGTTTATGGTTTAAAAGAAAAACATCATCTTGAAGAAATAATTTCACTGAGGCTAAAGGGATACTGTCTTGTTCAGATGCCGTGAAATTGCGATTATGATCTGACAAAGCTGTCTTCTCTTCTTGTGTTGTATGGAATGTCTGGATCATGCTTTCTGGGATATTTTTATTGAAATGCTCAGTGTGCGTTTCTGCAAAAAAGACTTGGTTGCTCTTACAAGGCAAGCAGGTCTTTCTCCCTTTTCTTGTGTTCTCTTGACACTTTTGTGGAACTTGACAAGCCTGGAAAAATAATTTTTTGTAAAAATTTGTACAATAATGTTATAAAAAGTTTATAATCCTAGAACTGTTGTGTTAATTCTTGTGCAAAAACAGTATATTCAGAATAAAAGTTTATCATTTAAAATCAACACCTTCTTTGATTGTTGACTCTCTATAATAAAAACATGTATATAAAGGCCTTCATAACTTGCTATATAATAATTCTGAGTTTGCTGTAAAACTGCACCCAAGTGTCTGAATATTTTCCAGTATGGAGATAGTGACTTAACACAGTTCTTATTGGTGTTCAAAGGAGAATTTGCAGCAACCCCTCATTTCTGCTTCATTTGTGGTTGTGAAATTTTCAAAAAAATGAAAAAAAATATTGTAACCAACAAAAACTGAGAGTCTGTAAAGCACTCAGTAAAATAATAGCCTGCAAAACATCTGAAGCAGCCGTTGTTCTGAAACAATGCTTTTGGAAGGATTGTCATTTACTAACTTGTAAACATCGATGAAGTCCAAGGGTTCATTCACATGGAGAAGCAGAATAAAATCAGATGGCTCAGATGGGTGCTGCCCAAGTTGTTGCCCCACCTCTGACAAAGACTGCTGCATGATTTATGAATCAGCTTCTGTAATGCTGCCGTTCTCAGCTAAGCATTAATTTCACAGTGGATCTACATACCTTAATAAACAGTCTTGAAGTGTTCAGGAGTTGCTTCACTCGGTTTTCAGACTTATGTGGTGGCACCGGCTCTCTGCATCAGAAGGGCAGGGCAGATGACTGCCACTGGTAACTGCTTTAGAAGCCTGATTTTAGTCCTTGACTCCGTACGTGTCAAAGCTCAGGGAGAACTGCAGTCATAAATTACTACTGGATTTCCCGAATCCCCGAGGAGTCAGATAAGAGAGTAAGAAATCAAATGCAGATTCTAATCCTGCAAAGTAACAGATCACCCATGTGGAAATGCTACGAGGCAGTACATGACACTGTGCATCAACATCCAGCGATTGTTGGCCTTAACTAGATTAAACATTGCCGCCTAACGACATGATTACACCCACA